GCGCAGGGGAAGTGTGAAGCTGACCCTAAAAACTGGCCTACTTTGAAGTGCCTAGAACAGTGCCTGGGGTGTGCGCAGGAAACACGATTGACAGTACATAGTGAGCATTCAGCAAGGGTTCCATTAGCATCCCCTATGGCTCATCCGACTGGTTGCCTCTCCTTCGGTTACACGTGACCAGACCTGCCCAAAGCATCCTGAAACAAAGCTAGATCGAAGTGGTTTATGGAATTGAAGGAGTTGCTGCATGCACCAGAGACTAGGGACTCAGTGCTACCACGATGCTTTGTATGTTTGTCCATCTGTCCTCTGTTGGTGTTAACATCTCTTGGTGACTTGGGTTTATTCTTTACTACCACAGAAGGGCTCCTCTCTTGGATGAGAATGAATGAGAAAAAACCTTTGTGGCACCAAGCTGCTGATATTTGGGGATTTATCTGACACCGCAACGTAGTCATTCTCTCCCGACTAGAACTTTCTGTACATTATCTATAATTCTCTTAACTGCCTTTCAAGGCAGACATCCCTAGCTCCACTTACCAGGTGGGAAAACTGAGGTCCAGAGAGGTTGGAGAGCTCGGCCAAGATCATCCAAGCTGGTAAATGGTAATGCCATGGTCCAAACCCACTTCTGACCAATTGTAGAGCCTGCTTTCTTGCTCCCCAAGCCCTGGGGGTCTTAAGATGTAAATCAGGATTGAGGGGGTGGGGTTGGAGGAAGGCAGCAGAACTGACAAACAGGATGATGTGGAAGTCAGTGTCAAGTTAGCCCACCTCCTGCCAAAACTGCAACTGTGGAACGTAACAGATCACACGAGGAGTCCTGTGTTCATTCCGGGTGCTTTCAGATGAGTGGTTCTGGAGCATTTGCTAAACCCTCTGGATGTGTCTTCAAAGACCCCCTTTATATTTCATGCAGGCAGGCAGAGCAGGCTGATAATGCATGCTAATGCCCCTTCCTGGGAGTCTGGGAGGACTGTTCTCTTTAGTTCTTCATTAAAGCTGCATGTGCACTTCTGAAGGAATAATGGCCAGCATCTGGACCAGATATCAGAAGGGCCACAGCTGGGCGGGCCTCAATTCTTGGCTAACTGGCTTTTTCCCAGTGAGGCTTCCTTGCGAGTTTCCCTTGCTCTCAGGATGAAATAAATGCTAGTGTCCCCAGCATATCTCCCTTCTCATGAGAATGGCTTTTACCCCCTTTCTCATCCCTGCCATTTTGACCCCCTATTGGGTTCCTGCTCCCATCTGCCGTTGATTGATCTGACACCAAAGCCCTGAAATTACAGTACTCTGGCCCCCTGGTCACAGATGACTGGCCCAGAGGTTGGTGCATGACCCAACCTGGGTCAATCAGAGCCCTTCTTGGGATTTCGAACTTGGACATGGAGAGTCAGTCAGTCCTCCTCTGTGGTGGAGGCTGTGAGTCGTGAGGCTGGGAGTTGTAGGGAGCCTCAGTGCCTGCCAACAGGACAGAAGCTCATCCTCTGTTAGAAGTGAAAAATTGACAGAAGCAGAGCTGAAGAGTACGTACTGTCGAAATTCAAGGGCTCAGTTTCAGTTACATTTGGACACTTCTGCTCTTCCAGTTACTTTCCCTTTCATTATAGTCCAGTGGTGATGGGTGCAGCCTCTGGAGCCAGACCATCCAGGTTCAAATCCTGGCTCACAGACTAGGTGTGTGACAGTGCTTTTTGTTGTCCGTAAAATGGGAATCAATGAGAATACCTACCTTGTAGGGTGGCTGTGAGGAAGAAAAGAGATACAAGCAAAGTGCTTGGAAGAGCACCTGGGAGGTATTAAATGCTTCATAAATGTCTCTTCTCCTTCTTTCTCCCAGTAATAATAGTGATAATAATAATAAGTGTTATTATATCTACTACTAAATTCTATATAATGTTATTTCCCCCAGCTTTATCAAGATATAATTGACATATAACATTATATGTTTAGGGTATACAATGTGTTGACGTGATACGCTTATATATCGCACAAAATCATTAGCGAACACCTCCATCATGTCCCATAATTATCGATTCTTTTTTATGGTGAGAACATGTAAGATCTACGCTCTTAGCAACTTTCAAGCATAGAATACAATATTATTTTTTTTTAAGATTTATTTATTTATTTTAGAGAAGGCGGTGAGGGGCAGAGCAAGAGGGAGAGAGAGAATCCTCAAACAGACTTCCCACCCAACATGGAGCCCAACCCGGGGCTCGATCCCAAAACTCCGAGATCATGACCTGAGCTGCAATCAAGATGGATGCTAACTGAATGAACCACCCAGGTACCCCTACAATACCTCTACAGTATTATTAACTATAATCACCATGCTGTGTATTAGATTCCCAGAACATATTGTTTTATAACTGGAAGCTTGTACCCTTTGCCCAGCACCTCTCCATTTCCTCCAACCCCACAGCACCTGGTAACCACGATAATATTATTATTATGTAATAGTATGTTATTACATTTAATAATAATTATAATCTAATAAATGCTATTATTATTATATCTAATAAATAACAGTATTATATCTACTAGTAATAGCAACAATTAAAGATTTTTGGGGTGCCTGGGTGGCTCAGTTGGTTAAGCGCTTGACTCTTTATTTGACAGAGAGAGACCCAGCGAGAGAGAGGGGACACAAGCAGGGGGAGTGGGAGAGGGAGAAGCAGGCTTCCCGCGGAGCAGTTCCTCTTAAACATTTGAAAAAAAAAAAAAAAATCAGACTGTGGGCCTGCATTCCTGTAGGGCAATAATCATCTGGAGGTGAGGGGCGGCTGCTCCCTTTAGACAGAGCATGGGCTCTTCAGTTCACCACTACTCCTTATTATGTTATGCCCAGACGGCTTCCCTCATTTCTGCTAGTGCCTAGTCCTTACGGACTTTTGAGTTTGGGAATCTTATTTCAGAGCCTAGACTGGAAGATCAGCCATTCTTGGTTTTTACTATAGCTTGGTTTTTTATTACCTAAAGAGGAAGTCACAGAGATTGAATAGTTTCTCATTCCTTTTTGAAGAGGAGGAAACTGAGTCGAAGTAGAGGTTAAATCACTTATATGAGGTCAAATGGCAGGACGGTGTTGGTCCTAGAGAGTCAAGTGTCTTTTTCCTTGTAGACCATGAGAACAGCTTCTATTGCTTTTTTTGACTTGGCCTCCAGGGAACTCAGATCTGCATTTTTAGATCTAGTAACTGACCTCCTGACCTATAAATCTTTTTTCTACCTTCCATCCTGTTCTTTTCCTGCCTTTACCTCTTATTCTAAATTATTTTTCTCCAAGTCCTGATTTAAAATGTATATTTAATAATTTTGTCATACATATTCCTGGAGTCTACTGTGAGTTCTATGTGGGTAGTGAATTAATAAATAAAATGTAATGAATTTTAAAATTCCAAGAAGGGCCTGAGTCACACCAAACTTCATGCTGGATGATAGTCATAGACTCAGGCTGGGGCTCTCTCCTAACCAACTGCCAGTTTTTTCTTTCTTTCTTTTTATCTTTTTTTTCTCTAGCGTTTTGCCAACAGTCCATTTTGCTTTCCTGGCATCGACATGGCCAGGCTGATAGCTTCAGCCTTGAATGGCTCTGAGGGGTTGGTCTGGTGTCAGGAGGGGGTTGGCAGACTCCATCCTCAGGCTGTGGGGGTGGAGGTAGAACGGGGGCAGCTTTACTACCTGCCTGGCGTCTGGGTCTTGGTTGGAGAAGGAATTCTAAGCTCCACCGACTTCAGTTCTTTCTCCTGCAGTTGCACCGATGTGGCCATTCCTGCAGCGATCTAGAGAGAAAATTTCTAGCCAGGAGTTTCTGGCTTGTTTGATTTTGAGCTTGTTCCCTGTATCCCCTTCTCCATCCCATTCCCGCGCCAATCCCCCCCCCCCCCCCCCGTGGACACTTTTTAAAGGAACAGTGGCAAGGCAAAATCAAATCCAAAAATTCACAGCAGTGGGGCCATTTTAATTTATTTTGGCCGTTCGAAGAGAGGGAAGCGAGCTCACCTTTTTTGAGCTCTTCCTCTGTACCAGCCACCGTGCTACGGGCTTAGCTTGAGTGCCTGCTGGTCTTTCATTTCAGAGTAAGTTAGAGATGGCTTAGCCGACGCTGCGCGCGTGGTCCTGGCTGACTTCGGTATCTGCATCTCCCTTGCTGCCTCCCGCTGGAGTGGCCTCACCTCACCCGCCCAGTCCTCCCCAGCCTGTCACCGTTCGCCCGTGCTGGGGCTCTCTGTACCGGAAGGGCTTATCCCTTCTGGTCTTTGCTTGGCTGCCTCCTTCACACCCCAGATCTCAGCTGAAATAGCCTCCGGGGCCTTCTCTGATGCTCAAGTAGATGATTATCTCACCGAAGCCTCCTTCTTCCTTCACAGCGCTCGTCAGCCCTTTAAAACTCTTTATAGGTGATTTTTTTTACAAATATGTTCCTTTTTTTTTTTTTTTTTATGCCATAGGCTGTTTCTTCCATTGTGTTAGCAGTTTTGTGTAGGTGGAATCGTGTGTGTCTCGTGGCCTGCTGTATGCCCAAGTGCCTGGCACATAGTAGGTGCTCGTTAAAAATTTGCCGAGTGAAGGGACGTTCGGTCCCATGAGTTGAGTGTTATCATTGTTGTAATTATCATTAACAGCTACTGCTTATCAGGCACTGACTATGTGCCAGGCACCGTGCTGATGTTTTATGTTTAGCATCTCATTCAATTCCCACAGTGATCTTGGGGGGCGGGGTGGATCGTGTTATCCCCATTCCTCGGAAGAGGAAACTGAAGTTCAGGTCTTTTTCTCAAAGCCACCCAACTAGTTAGTGTAGAGCTGGGAGTTGAACTCAGGTTTTCCAGTGCCAAAGCTGTGATCCCTTCACTCTACCGCCCGAGTTCCTTTGCAGAGGAGGAGTCTTCTACTGCCGGGACTTAGGTTTGACATTCACTGAGGCATGTGAGTCCTGTGGGGATGAAGGGGTGGGCTTGCCAGGTGGGAAGACCCTTCAGGCATCAGCTAGGCAGAAAGGCCGACGGGGAGGTGGGAGGAAGGATCTTGCTCCACACAGCTGGGTGGGCTGCATGAGCTGGCCGAGGGCTGGGCTGTGGTTGGCTTGACATCAGCTCTCTTAGCTCAGGCTGCCATGACAAAACACCATAGAGGAGGGCTTAAACAGCAGACATTGATTGCTCAGAGCTCTGGAGGCTGGAAGTCCGAGATCAGGGTAGCAGCATGGGCAGGTTCTAGTGAGAGCTCTGTTCCTGGTTTGCAAATGGCTGCCTTCTCGCTATGTCCTCACATGGTGGAGAGACAGAAAGAGAGAGAGAGAGGGAGGGATCTCCTCCTTTTCTTATAAGGACACAGTCCTATTTGATTAGGGCCCCACCTTTAGGACCTCATTAACCTTAATTACCTCCTAAGTTCTTTTTCCAGATACAGTCACGTTGGGGATTTGGGCTTTACCATATGAATTTTGGGAGAACATAATTCAGTCCATAGTAAGACCCCAGGGGGCTTTTGGGAGCCCAGGCTTTGGGGCCAAACAGCCTCAAACCCTGCTTGGCCATTTCCTAGTTGTTGGACTCTATTTTTCCATTTCCCTCACTGTGATTCGGTGATCTCATGATCTGCCCTGCCTGCTTTATAGAATGCTAAGGACTAAATGATAAAACATACGTGAAAATGCACTTCTTTTTATCTGTATTTCTTATTGTCATTATCACTGTTCTTGAGCAGGCCAAGTGTAATTTCTCTCTCTCCTTCCCACCCTTGAGTTGTTTGGAAGTTATTTTTAAAAGTCTTTGAAATGTCCTTTTCTGTATTTGGCAAAAGCAAATGGAAATTGATAGCATTGTCACCGGGCGGGAGCCCCCCTCCCTCCAGCTGCCTGCCTGGGGGGAACAACTTGGGGAGGAGGGGGAGGTTTCTGTTGAGGCAGCTGGTTTGTTACTGCGTGAGTGTTTTCTGCGAGACCTGACCAGCTCTTGTCGAAAGCAATCTCTCCTTTTCTTGTTCCTCTGTGTCACATCTGGATTCACAAATCCAGGCCGCAGAAGTTCAGACCGCAGTCTGGCCACGTCCATCTGCAAAACCCTCCATTGTTCTTTCCACCCCAGGGCATTTGCACGGACTCTTCTCTCTGCCTGGAACTCTGGCACCTTATGTCATGGTTATCTCTTTCATTGATATCTCAGTCCAAGTGTCACCTTCCTAGAGGTCCCTTCTCTGACCCCCAGTTGAAAACAAATCCCCTCCTTTGCTGTTTAGTCATGGGCATCACCTCAATTAGGGTTACTGGAGAAAAACAGTGTCCAGATAAGCTTGAATTTTGGATAAACACCAAACATTTTCTAGTATTGCATGGGATTTTTATTGATTGTGGATCTGAATTTCAAATTTAACTGGATATCCTGTATTTTATCTGCCAAGTCTGGCAGCCCTGCCCTCAAAGACACGTGCTAAATGAATGAATGGGAAGCTCTTGGCACAGAGCCTGGCACCTAGCAGGCTCGAGGTAAATGTTAGCTGTCATCTTCATCCTCCTCCTCATCTGCTTGGTTCTTGGAACCACACAACCAGTCTCCCTGCTCCCTTTCCCGCTTTGGAGATGGGCAAGAAAATATTTCCTACCAGAGGGCCATCACCTGGCTCCTTAGAATAGTATAAAATATTCTCTGCCACAGCTTTGGAATCTGATTGCAGTGCTGTTTGGCAGGGAAACGCAGTGAGTTATCACAGAGCGTTCCCTCCAGCGCTGGGTCATGCAAATATTTATTGCAAGCGTTAAATAATAAATGGAACAGCCTGCCCAATGGTAAATCTGTCATGTTTGGTTTCAGCCAGAAGTTGTGACGGCTCTGGAATTGCTGCCCGTTCCACTGCCTCCGCCTGCCCTCCAGAGGGGCAAGGCAAACATCCGAGTTCTCCAGGGCGGAATCGGCGGGGCTGATGAGACAGCTGGATGCCAGAGGGGGCGGCGGGGGATGCTCAGCCAGGCATGGAAGCTGGCAGGTAAGGCTGGGCTGCGGCCCAGGAACCAAAGCCGACGAGACGCCGGGCAGGCCCAGACCCTGGTCGTCATGCTGCTGCCATGGTTCTCACGGGGCACCGTCTCATCGTCCACATCTTGAGTAATCTTGCAATATTTCTCTTGATGCGCGTGTCAGCTCTACTCTGGCTGACTGGTCTGAGCTGGCCAGCTCTTAAAAAGCTCTTGAGCTAACTTCCGCCCTCTTTTCTAGATGAAGCCGGTGGGTGAGAGAGGACTGAGACCTGGTGTTAGATGCTTGGAGGCAGCAGTGTTTCCTGAGCCCATGTGTGCGCATACCCTGTCGTCTAACCCTGGTGTTACAACCTTGAGCTTGAACACGTGGGTTCTTGAGCCAGACAGATCTGATTTGGAATCCTGTCTCTGCACTTATAAGTTGTACCATCTTGGGCAAGCCACGGGACCTCCTGGAGCCTCTGTTTCTTGAGCTGTCAGAGGGGGGAAATGATGGTACTCACTTCCTGGGGTTGTTCTGAGGATTCAGTGAGATCGTGTAGGTGAAAGGCTTAGTCCCGTGCCTGGGACCTGGTGAGTGCTTTGCCATATGCTAGCTCTAGTAGTGGTGAATAAGGGACCAGCGAGGAAAAGACCTTGTCCAGACCCACAGACAGGGCTGCCTCAGTCAACGAGGCATATGTAAGTCACATCTTGCAGTATGAAGTGAATGGTCACACAGTTACATGATGGTGGAATTCAGGCTCCACCCTGGGGTTTTATGGTTCCAAAAATAATGCTCTTTTTTCTACCTCAGATCTGCCCTATCCATTGTAGGATGGTGGGTAGTGTGGCCCATATGCTGACCCCAGCCCTCGTTGCCTGGAATTGGTGGTGTCCTTGCAGTGGTGCGAGTGGAGTTGGAACTCTGGGTGGGGCTGCACAAAGTGAGGATATCACGTAGGACATGTGTGACTTCCAACTAATACAAACCCACCTTGAAGAGGCTTACACAATAATGGCAATTACAATTTCGTGGAAGGTGACCCTGTGGTGAGTGCACCTGGTGGGATGCAATGTTAGTTGTGCAATGGTGGATCCAGTCTCTTTCCACCTTTCTGCTCTTTCTGCCACCTGCAACAGGTTGCTCTTCTCACAATCTCAAGATGATGCAGCTCTTCCTCTTGTCCCTTTTACGATCACTGTCCCAGAAGCTCCCAGATGACTCCTCCTTGAGTCTCATTGGTCAGAACTGCATCACATAGCGTGGCGTGGCGTGCCCCGCCGCGCGTCAGGACCGGGGTCCGGTGCGGAGAGCCCCTCGTCCAGGGAAACGGAGCGCGGCCGGAAAGGGGGCCGCCCCCTCGCCTGTCACGCAACGCACGTTCGTGGGGAATCTGGAGCTAAACCATTCGTAGACCTGCTTCTGGGTCAGGGTTTCGTACGTAGCGGAGCAGCTCCCTCGCTGCGATCTATTGAAAGTCAGCCCTCGACACAAGGGTTTGTTTTATTTAAAAAAAAAAAAAAAGAACTGCATCACATGTTCTTTTCTCAGCCAGTCACTGGCGAGGACAATGGAATTTACCATGATTGGCTTAGACCAGCAGTTCTCAAAGTGTGACAGTGTGGTCCTCAGACCAACGTCATCAGCCTCACCTGGGAGCTGGTTAGCAATGCACATTCTCTGGCCCCACCCCAGAAACTCTGAGCTGAGGCCCACAGTCCATGTTTGAATAAGCCCTCCAGGTGATTCTGATGGACACGAAGTTTGAAAAACTCTGGCTTGAACCAGGGATCTTTACCTGTGAAGAACCAGATAGTAAATATTTTAGCCTTGCAACCACAGCTTGTAGTAACTACTCAGCTCTGCTGTTGTAATTCAAAAGCAGCCATATATAGTACGTAAGTGAACCAGCCTATTTATGGACAATGAGATTTGAATTTCATATAACTTTAACATTTTAGAAAAGATTATTGTACTTTTGATCTTTTCCAGCCACTCAAAAACGTATAAGTCATTGGTTCCTGGGCCACACAAAAGCAGATAGCTGTCCAGGTTTAGCCCACAGGCCATGGTTTGCCAACCCTGGCTAAGACTGATTGACATTCATCTCCTGAAACTGGGGAGGGCCCTCCTTGTCTTGAAACACAGAAAGCCCCAGTTTCTTAAGGAAGTTGGAATTTGGTTTATAAGGAAGAAGGGGCACATAGCTCTTGTATGTTCACCTGCAGTGTTTGCCATAGTAGGGCTCCCAAATATTGGTCAGCAGAACCATTCCTGCCAAGAGCCAGCTTACTCGGTGTCTTGCTTTTAAAGTTTTGACTTAGTTTTATTTCCTAGGCAGATTCTTCATCTATTCACTGAGGATAGTCTTTGCCGTCCTGACAAGCCTGGACATAATCCATTCTTGTATCTGAAACTCCATCTCCTCTTCCCAGGTGGCATCAGAGCCTGGGAAGGAGCAATACCTGTGTTCAGGACACTGTTTCAAGCTTCTTACACATTCTTTGTGGTCCTCCAAGACGGCAGCTGAGCAAGGAGGTGTCAGATAGGTTAGAGGCCCAGTGTTTAGAGCTACATTGCCCTTCTCCCATTCTGCCACTTTATGCTAGTTCTTTGGGCGATTCCCCGGAGGGTTGACAGTCCCATGGTCTGGCTGCTGGCCTCCTTTTTTCCTTAGGAAAAGATAATAATCGTGACAATGGCAGCAATAATCATAAATCGCCAACGGGTGATTAAGTGCTCACCGTCTTCCAGATGCCATCCTAAGCACTTCAGATACATCACCTTCTTGAATATAGATCCACGTTATAGGTAAAGAAACCAAGGCACCAAGAGGTGAAGTAAGCCACGGTCACCACCAGAGAGTGGGTGGCTGCCCCTGGGCCCCAGAGCCCAAGCCCGATTAATTAGTAGGAGGAGGCCCATTATTAAAGTAGAAGCAAAATAAGTCAACCAGAGAAAGACAATTATATGATTGCACTCATACGTGGAATTTAAGAAACAAAACAGAGGATCATAGGGGAAGGGAGGGAAGAATAAAGATGAAATCAGAGAGGGAGACAGACAAACCATAAGAGACTCTTAATCATAGGAAACAAACTGAGGGTTGCTGGGGGGGACGTGGGTGGGGGGGATGGGGTAACCGGGTGATGGGCATCGAGGGCATGAGATGTAATGAGCACTGGGTGTTCACATGCAACTGATGAGTAACTGAACTCTACATCTGAAACTAATAATACACTATGTGTTAATTAATTGAATTTAAATAAAATTAAATAAAAATGAATATAGAGAATACTTTAACTCTGCCAGTCTTCCTCCACCCCCTGCTTCACGTCTTTTGGATGTGGACATAACGGTTTAGTTTTGCTTTCGTTGCTTTCTGCCTGGCTAATTGACATCTCATACCTCTTTTATTTATTTTTTTTTAGTTTTTAAAAAATTTTTTAATTTAAATTCAATTAGCCAATTTATATAGTACATCATTAGTTTCAGATGTAGTGTTCAATAATTTATCAGTTGTCTATAACATCCGTTGCTCATCATATCACGTGCCCTACTTAATGCAGACACATGAAAAGATGCTCCATATCACTCAGCATCAGGGAAATACAAATCAAAATCATAATGAGATACCACCTTACACCAGTCAGAATGGCTAAAATTAACAAGATAGGAAACAAACAAGGTGTTGGTGAGGATGCGGAGAAAGGGGAACCCTCTTACACTGTTGGTGGGAATGCAAGCTGGTAGGTATAGCCACTCTGGAAAACAGTATGGCGGTTCTTCAAGAAGTTAAAAATAAAGCTACCCTACGACCCAGCGATTACACTACTGGGTATTTACCACAAAGATACAGATGTAGGGATCCGAAGGGGTACGTGCACCCCGATGTTCATAGCAGCAGTGTCCACAATAGCCAAAATGTGGAGAGAGTCGAGATGCCCTTCAACAGATGAATGGATAAAGAAGATGTGGTTCATGTATACAATGGAATAGTATTCAGCCATCAGAAGGGATGAATATTTACCATTTACATTGACGTGGATGGAACTGGAGGGTGTTATGCTGAGTGAAATAAGCCAGTCAGAGAAGGACAATTATATGGTTTCATTCATACGTGGAATATAAGAAACAGTGCAGAGGATTGTACCTCTTTTAAAGAAACATAACTTTAAATTTTAGAACCAACTGTGTAGAACCTTGTCTACATAAGATGATGGGCAGGAAAGGGGAACACTTCGTTGTTTTTCTCCCTGGTGCACAGAATCCAGAATTGAAGTTTCTGCCATTTGGGACATGCCATGGACTGAATTGTGTCCCCTCGAAGCCCTAACCCCCAGCATGAAGGTATTTAGAGGTGGGGCCTTTGGGAAGTAATTAGGTTTAGATGAGGCCTTGAGGGGATTAGTACCCTTATAACAGGAAGAGAGACCAGAACCTGTTCTCGCTCCACCATGTGAGAAGGTGGCTGTCTGCAAGCCAGGAAGAGAGCTCTCCGCAGAAGCTGGCCATGCGGCGCCCTGATCTCGGACTTCCAGCCCCCAGAGCTGTGGGAGAATAAACCTCTGTTGTTTGAGCCAGCCTGTGGTATTTTGTTGTGGCAGCCCAAGATGAGTAAGAGCATGGGAGTCTGGTCCTGCTGGGAATGTCAGACGTCTCAGAACAAAGGGTGAAAGGTGACAGCCTCCAGGCTGCCTCTTTCTGCGCCCTCCATCCCTCATCACCACCAGCCTCTCCAGTTCAGGATAAGGGGTACCCCTGGCACAGGGTTGAGAAGGGCTGGAATTCATGAGAGGAGCCTTGGGAAGTTAGAGCAAATAGAGCATCATCGATAATGGTCGTCTCCCTAGAACTTGCTGGACTTGAGGCCTGAAGCTACAGGTTCCAGGAAACTGTGGTTTAAGTACATGGGTGTTTTTCTCCTATAATGAGACGTCTGGAAGTGGGGCCTTTGGGGTTGTTTCTGTGGCTCTGGTTAGCATCCCCGAGACACTCCTGGCCTCTTGAGGCCTCAAGACAGCCACCGTGGCTCTCCCCTCATGTCCTCATCCGATGAGGTCAACAGGCAGGATTGGGAGGTGATGGGGTGTGTAGAGGTTCAGATGGCTTTTCCTTGCAGGAGTTATTTGTTGCACTAACAAATTACTCCAAAATTCAGCAGCTTAAAAGAACAGACATTCGGTATCTGTGGTGCTCAGGAATCAGAAGCAGTTCAGTTGGGTGGTTCTTGCTCTGGGTGTTTTGTGAGGGTTTAGTCAAGATGTTGGCTGGGGCCTGGCTCTTCTGAAGGCTTGACCAGGGCGGGAGGATCTGCTCCAAGATGCCTCACACACGTGGCTGGCAAGTTGGTGTTGGCTGTCAGCTGCAGGCCTCTCCACAAGGCTGCTCGGGTGTCCTCCCAACATGGCAGCCGTGTCCCGAGTGAGTGATCGAGAGAGCGCAAGAAGGAAGCTGTGATGCCTCTCATGTTCTAATCTTGGAAGTCACACATCGTCACCCCTGCTGCCTTCTGTTCATTACAAGTGAGCCCCTAAATGCAGCCCACACTCAAGAGGAGGGGAATTATGTTCCACCTTTTGAAGGGAGTAGTATTGAAGAACTTGTGTACATATTTTAAAATCACTGCGCTCCTTTATCAACCCATTTCTTATCAGAGGGGAAGATCTTTCCCAGGGCCCCCCCCCGATGCCCCTTCTATCTCAGTGGCTAGTTCTGGGTTCCATGCCCACTGCCCACAGGGGACTGATCCATCATTCCTGAGAGAAGACTCTCTGAACAGAACTGGGGTTCTGTCAGTTAGCAAAAAGAATTGGGGCAGGCAGGATGGCTTTTGGGTGGCTATTGACAATGTCTGCTACAGTATTTTATACATTTCATCTCTAACAACCTTGCAAAAGTATGATGACTACCCCAAATTTGCAAATAAAGAAACTATGGTTCAGGGAAGTAAGTAATTCCCCTGAGGTCACCCAGCAAATAAGGCAGGAGAACCCAGGTCCTTCTAGCTCCAAAGCTCATACTCTTTTGTCTGTATTCCTTTCAAAATACTAATTCTCAACTGTGGGGAGGTAGTGGATATTATGACCCACAGGGGGCTTTTGGCAATGTTTAGGGACATTTTTGGTTGTCACAACTGGGGGTGCTATTTGCAGCTAGTGGGTAGAGGCCAGAGATCGCACTAGCCATCCCATAATGCACAGGACATCCCCCCCCTCCCCGCAAAGAATTATCTGACCGAAAATGTGAATAGTGCCAAGTTTGAGAACCCCTGTATTAGAACAAGTTCTTTGAGGGCAAGGATCATGTTTTCTTTGTCATTTCTGAAACCTCTCTGCACAGCCTGATCCTAGCACATTGTAAGTGCTTAATAAATACTAAGTAAATGAACAAATGTGCTGCACTGAATTCCAGATTCAAAGAGTCAGAGGCTTAGAGAACTGCAGGGTTGTGGGGGGTGGGGAGGAACACTCCCACTCCCGATGGACTCACCCAAGCTCCCAGCTTCCCCTGGTTGTAAGAGGACTGGTGGAAACATGGTCTTGCTTTTGAACTTGGTCCAATGTAGCCTATGCCCCCCATGTGTGATGGAAGCCGACTGCTGGATGGAGTCAGGGTTGGTTACCTGTTCATCTCTGAGATTATGGAAATAGAGGGAACAGACAAATCCCACTTCTCTGAATCTATCCTTTTCTAAATGGACTATCCACCGGGAGGAAACACAGTAATTTATTTCTCACTGCCCTTCATCCCTAGCCCTGCTCTTTGTAGGCGGTTGCTGGTGCTTCTGGGCAAAGATAATGAAAGTTCTTTCTTGTATCAAACTCCTTTCCCCAGGAGACAGAGCCCCAGCATCAGCCAAAGCAGAAGGCTGGGCTCTGGGAGCCTGGCTTGGAGGCCCAGGATGGCCATGCAGGGGCTTCCTTTGGACCAGGTTGGACTTGCAGTGATTACTAATTATCTTACAATTGACATTTCAATGCCCGCCAGCTTCTTCATCAGATGCCTCTGTATCATGTCAGGTTATGAGAAAAAGCAATTGTCTGTAATGGCTAGGCAGGCCCATTTTCTTTTTTTTTTTCTAAAAGTCAGTTTTTACAGCAAGGAAAGAGTCCTGAATTTGCTCTGAATGTGTCCCTGGGTTGGTGCCAGAAGCAGAAAACTCATCATATCTTCACAGGCTCTCAGGGGTTACTATCTCCATTTGCAGTTGAGGAAGCGGAGGCTCAGAGAGGTTGAGGGGCTCGCCAGAGATCCCACGCACAGTAAGTGGTCAAGTGGGGATTTGAAGCCAGGACTGTCTGTCCTCCCGCGCCAACCCTGCAGTGGGGATTTGAAGCCAGGACTGTCTGTCCTCCCCCACCAACCCTGCAGTCTCCCAAGTCCACACTGTATTCTGTCTGCCATGCCCTAGTGGCCACCTGGGCCCCGTCTTCAAAGTCTTGACGCTGCTGTTGACTAAATGTTTGTGCCCCGCTCCCCTCAAAGGCATGTCTGTGATGGTTTTAGGAGATGAGGTCTTTGGGAGGAGATGAGTTCATGAGGATGGAGCCCTTGCGAGTGGGATTGGTGCCCTGATGAAAGAGGCCTTGGGGAGCTCCCTCACCGCTTCTTGCCACTGAGGTTCTGTTGTACAGATACGGAAACTTAGATCCAGGGAGGTTAACTTGTTAAAGAGTCATGGAGAGTGACAGAGCTGGGATTTAGCCCCAGACATCTGCCTCCAAAGCCCACATTGTCTACCGCACTGAGACACACTGTCACAGATAGTGTCTCTTCCTTCCATGTTCAGTGGGGATGGCAGGTGGCGGGGCTGGAGGCAGGTTGGTGCTAGTCTGATAAACAGGATCAAATTTACTAACTGGGTGCATCTCAGATGAGTGTAGTGATAGGCGGGCATGGAGAGAATGGAGCCGGGGAGGAGAAGCTGCCTTACCCTGGGGGACACCTGCTTGCAGGATCACTACTGTGGGCCTCCTGTATCAGTGGGTGCTCAAGCAGTCACACACCTGCTTCACTCTGAATGCCGGCACTCATGGTGCATGGTCATCTAAATCTGGATTTATAACTGCTCAGGAACCATGCAGCTGGACAGATCTGGTCATTACGGGCTGTAGCCAGAAAGGCTTCTTTAACTGTATATCAGTTTTCAAACCCTGAATGTCAAGTGATGCTGGAAACAGGAAGTCTAAAACGTGAGGGCATCAGGACAGATCCTACATGGAATTATGTGTCCATCACGGGCAGACCACATATCCTTGGGCGTCTGCTAGGGCCCGTATCCCCATGTAGCATCAGGGAGAGCCTTTCTGTACCAGCCCATGAAAATAAGCGTTTCTTTACTTTTCTCAGTCTCATTCCCCAAGATTTACCTGAGTAGCTCTGCTGCTAGGAATGTCTTCCTCAGGCGTTGGCTTCTTTTTGTCCTCTTTAGGCACAAGATCGTCAAGGATAAGTTAGTGTTTCTCCTTCCTGCAGCCCACACTAACTACACACTTGCTGTTGGTTGGCCAAGGACTGATGTGTGGGGCCCACTGTAGACACTCACTGTTGCGGGCATTGTTTCGTTGAATAACTAGTCATCACCACCACTCAAGAGAATTGGTTTAAACGTCTATGTCAAAGCAAAGAATTCTGAACACAACACATTCTCACTGAGGATCTGCAGCAAGTCCCAGTTGAGAGGTTATTGGACTCCACTGTCTCCTGAGTTACCTAGACCTTACTATTGACCTTGACCATTGAGCTTACCTTGACCATTGGGCTTATCATCTTCATATGAACTTTCACCTGGAAAAGTGCTGGCGTGGTATTTGCTCAAAAAGGGAGCGGGGATTTAAGAATGAAGCTACAGCCTCTCTTTAGCACATACCCTGAAAAAGGTCAAGCAAAGTGTGAGGAGTTACATAACGTGATGGCGGTGTAAGCTAATGCTAAGGTGGGAATCATATGATAGCATATAAGTGTATCAAATCAACCCATTGCATACCTTTAACTTAATGTTATACATCAATTATATTTCAATACGAAAATTACACTTGACCAGAATAAAAAGAGTTAAATAAGGTGACATTTGTGAAGCCAAATTTGGGGTTCCACAGGCAAAGTGCCCTTTCTCCCAGAAACAGGCTCCCTTGCTGGCCAATCTCCAACTGAATAAATATGGCCACAGCCCCATGGCTGCAAAGCTGACTTTTCTATCCAGGTGAAGTACTCTTAAAAAGACCCCATGCAAATCCAGAAAGATTGGGGAGGATAGGTCAAATTATTTATTTATTTATTTATTTATTTGTAAAGATTTTATTTATTTGAGAGAGAGAGGGAGAGCACAGAGGGAGAGCGAGAGAGAGAAGCAGACTCCCTGCTGGATGCAGGGCTCGATCCCAGGACCCTGAGATCATGACCTGAGCTGAAGGCAGACACTTAACTGACTGAGCCACCCAGGCGCCCCCAGATAATTTATTTTCTTGAAATAAGGTTACCAAAGCACAAGGCATATGAGTGATAACGAGCATATGTTTTTCATATTGGTCTCTTCGCCCCTGCTTTCCCATTAATGCCTTTCCTCAGCCTCTTCCCTCAGACTGCTTCTCTGGCTTGTGAATAGGAGACATGGATGGACGAGAGAGAGCAGGCCTGTGTCTCCTCAAGGCCTGATCACACTTCTTTCCCATATTCTAGGACATTTGAACATTCAGTGGCTACCACACAGCCAGCTGGCAGGGAGGCTTAGTTTTCCTCTGACTCTCCTGAGGATATGATTTGTGGATTAGGCTAAGATCAGACAGCCCTTGGGATCCAGGCGGGCAGGGTCTGGCTCCTTGGGCTGCTGGCAGGTGCCATCTGGCTGCCCCCCCCGGGGTGCCAAGGAAAGTGGTTCCCACTCTGATAGTGTCTGAGGAAAGAGTGGGCAGAGGGCTGTGTGGTTGTTGGGTTGGGGTTGGCAGGGATGGGAGCAGGTGCAGCGTGCCAGAGAGGCGTGGCCAGCTGCTTGCAGGGCTTTCAGGGCCTTTGCCAGGAGGCTGTGTCTAGACAGCTTCTCTCTGATCCTTCCTCCTCTTCCCCCACCATCCCCAATCTCATCCATTCCTAAT